GATGGGTGCCCTTGTTAAGGAGAACTGGAGGGCAGCCTGTTTTTCACTTCCCACATTTCCTACCGTGACAGGAAATAATTTGGACAGGACTGTATAGAAAGAAGAATAGGCTCTGCTGAAACATTGCAACTTTCCCAGGCAAATACACACATCTTCTAACCAGATCTATCCTGATTTCCACTAGTGGGCTAGTAAAACAGTAGAGATTGCAACAAGTGCTTGGGCCTCTGCATCACTTGGGAGACTTGGAAGCACCTGCTGGCCTCTGATCTTAAATGGACCACCCCTGAAGTGATGGTGAAATGGGAAGTGTTGTACATGGAAGGCAAAAGGAATAATGTTTAAAAATGTATTTTCCAGAGGGTATACACCAAAGAATAGCAAAATGCATGTTGAAAGAAGAAATCGAAAGATATTTGTCCTTGATTACTAGTCAAAAAGAGACTGGCAAAAAACCCAGTCCTAATACCGGTACTGACTAAACTCAGAGAAGGAAAAAAAGCCATAATTTCCATAAAGACTCAATAAAAACAGATTGGACAAATTACCTGTGATAAATGAAAGGAAACTGAACAAAAAGAGGTAGAAATGAGGAAAGAGATTCAAAAGCATCAGAGAGAATCAGCATTCTGTTTGAATGCATAAAAATAAAATTATGCATGTAAGTACATATAACGAATGCAAGTAGTGTGGACCAAAGCAATTGAACTAAAAAGACTTACACATGTGATACAAGAATAACTTTTAAAAGAAGGTTGAAAACTACAGTCCTGTGTCAGTGACCCCAATCCAACACAAACAGAATGGGCATAGGCTTGAAAGGTTGCTCAAAATATCAAGCCAAATATTTCCATGTATACATGCTTAATTAGTCATTGTTTCTTTCTTTTTGCAGATGAGGTGTGGTTGATGTGTGACCTCATTTACAAGTAGTTGGTCTCCCTAGGCAAGGACCACCAGGTCAGCTCTGGACTCTGGGTGACTGTCCCCTGGTTGAAGGTGGTTCATGAGGCTTTATGGATTTTCTCCTGAAAGAACCTTAGGAAACAAGGGGCAATAATTAAGAAGAGACCTATAATCACTAGTGGAGTGAGCATTGGAATAAACCATGATAAGTGGGAATCCCCAGATATCGAGACTGAAGATGATGCCTGATTTGTGCAAATAATTGAATCTGCTTAGTTAGTTGGGGGTAGAGAAGAATTAGTAGAATCAGAGGCAGAAGAGGTATTTTGGAATTTAAAGGTTAGTGGGTTAGGCTCAGACTGCTGGATCTCCCACTGAGACAAGCAGAGGCTTTGAAAGATTTGAGACAAGAGAGATGGTTCCAGGAGGTGAGGCCAAGCAGTTTGGCTGCAGTAGGGGTGAGGAAGATCACCACGTGAGGTCTGGTCCACCGTGGCGGAAGTGGGTCTGGGTGAAGAGTCTTGAGCAGAACCAAGTCTCTGGTTGAAGAGGAAGGGTGTCAGGATTGCCTAACATGTTCGGGTCAGGACGTGGGAGGCATCAGTCTGCGTGTTTTCCTTGAGACTTGCGAGTGAGAGTCAGAGAAGATAAATGGCCAAGAGAGGAGACTTTGTAGGGAGCTGGAGAAAACCAGGAAGGGTCGAACATATATCAGCTCAGATTCGCTCAATCCCAGGGCCTTGCGAGGGCTGGCCCTGATATGCATTAGGGCCCAGGGGAGTTAATCCACTCATGAGAATCTGAGCTCCAAGGATAATTTTGTGAGGTGGTTCTTGATAATTCCGCTGGTTCTTTCCAGCTTTCCTGAAGCCTGGGGACAGTAAGGAATATAGAGCTTCCAGATGATGTGCAAGGCCTCTGAGACCTGTTGAGTGATCTGTGAAATGAAGGCCAGCTTGTTGGCAGACTGGATGGATAGTGTGATGGACTGGTTCAGCCAGGAGCAATCAGTCCAATGGGAATAGCACCCCGGGAATTGTGGGCAAGGGTTCAGCAAATGACAGACACAACCACTCAAGACAGTTGTATGTGAGTGCTTTTTCAAAAGCAAGACATCAACTTATATACAATGGATTATTGCATGGACATTTTCTTTGTTTATTCATGTGGTTACATTTCTACAAACAATTATTCCAGTGAGCTAAGCGGGTCTGTTGAGAAAAGATTGTTCTCTAATAGCCTGGTGACAGGCTGCTGTTGCTATGTCTTGTGACGTGGTTTGGCAACAGCTGCAGTTTTAATCATTAAGCGGTTAGCTCTCATTGTGCCTTGTGCCTTCCATTGGTTTTAATATTAACCTGTCTATTTTTCTTAGTCTTTCTTCCTGTATGGTTTTTTAAGCTATAGATCTCTACTATAATTTTCTTTTGAGGAATCCTCAAAAATAGTATCAGGTAGGTTTATTAAATCAAGTGACCTGACAGTTTTTACCCATACAGCTTGCAATCTTCGTCCGGTCTCCTGTCAGAAGGCTTCATAGAATTATAAAAGAATATTGAGCATTTGCCCCACATAAATAGCATTATTCCAGCCATAAAGATAAGCGTAAAGAAAGTACAGCCAGGAATGTCAAGATCACTAGAGATACAGCCAAATCCACGAGGCATCCTTCCTTGAAGCTTCCACCTCGGCCTGGTCACTTCGCATGTTGCTTCCACTGGAGGTGGCATGACAGGATAGAGGCAAACCAAACCTGGGAATGAAGTGCTTAAGTAGGGATCAGCCAACTGCTGATGTTTCCTTGGCCCTTGGGAAGTTTCCACCCAACCTGAAAAGGTATCTTCCAGGGCATCTCTCAGTGATGGTATTTTCTGATCCTCAGCATATTGGGTAATGTAAATCTGCAATGATGAATTTATTTCAACTTTATTCTGATTTCTCAGTCAAATGTTAATCTCTCCTGGGGACAAGATCACAAATACAATCCAGAAATATCTTAGCACCTTTGTCAGCACCGCTTTCTTTGCTCCATAATGTTGATACAATGAATTAACCATTGCAGTAGAAACAGACTTAAATAGAGTGCAAAGGCACGGTACCACAGTTTTAAAAAAATGTGAGAGCAGCTATTGACACATGTGCATCCATGCTGTATTTGAAGATACTCTTCAGGGATGTTATCCTATCATTACTGTTGACCCAGCTCCCATGTGTGTTGATGCGGATGTCAGCCCGGCCCTGGGATGTCCACCAGGTCCCTCCATATGACTTAACATCACCAAACTTCTCAAGAACTCATGCCTGTGGTAGTCCTGTCCATGGAAGTCCCAAGGAGCCACCCCATACATCTCAGGCAAGCCCTTGTTGACCCCCAAGTCAGTCTGTGCCAGTCTGGTGTCCAAGGTCATCTGTTCCATCAGAGTGATCTGAGGAGCAGCTCTGCCGGAGGTACAGAAGCCTGATGCTTCAGCTCAGAACCTAGTATATTCACAATTTTCCATTAAAAACTAAATAAGCAAAAGTGTGATTTGTTTTCAATCTTTTTACACAAAAAACACATTTTTAAGACATTGATGTGAACTTCTTGAAGTCTGCCTCAGTGAAGACAAAATGAGCCAAAAGTTGTTCTAAAACCTGAGTATCAGTGAAGCCACTGGCTGAATGTGCAGTTTACCAATCCCAGGAAGTTCATTGTCCTCTTCATAGTGTTTGGCAGAGGACAGGCTTCCAGTAGAACTGATGAATCCACTTGGTTACATCGTGTTTAACAACCTGCCTGACATCTCTGAATGTTGTGTCTGCTCACATGTCACCATTCATTCCATGTGCAGTTTCCTCTTTCGGCAATGTCCATCTGCAAATGGAATGCCTGTAAATTCCTGAAGGGCCACCTGCTCATTGACGGCCTCCCTAGCACAGGCTAAGTTCAGCAGAGCCACATTCCCAGTGCTGCTTCTCTATGCCATGTGACAGGAACAGGGTGGACTGGGTTGTGTGCAGATTCAAGCAGCTGACAGCAGCACCCACATCCTCATTCTCCTCCTAGGTGTTAAGTCAGTCCACATGCTTGAATGGAAGGAGGTGTGCAGAGAGGAAATAAAGGAAGTAGGCAAGGTGTTAATTCCAGAATAGATGGCAGAATACAGAGAAACAAAGTGATGAAAGATGTTCAAGGAACTGTTATATATTCTATATTGTAAAAATTAACAATTATATATATATATATATGGTTCTTAACACAGCAAAAATGCTTACACAGCCAAGCTTTTAACACATATACTGTTTATTGAATCATTGTTCAGAAACACAAGTGATCTATTCTACTGACTGAGGAAGTCAACTCAGGTGCAATATCACATAATAATAAAGAACAAGATTAATGAAGTAAACACAATTAAAAATACCACAGGACTAGATGGAATATCTTGCCTTGATCTTATTATATAATAGGAAGCAAAAGAGTTCAAAACAAATGTAATATAATTGCAACCGTTTTATGGTTAAATTAGCTAGGATATCTACATATGAATTGTATATAAAATCAAGTCGTTTTCAAGGATAATATGGAAATACAGCACCATTTGTACATATTTACTGTAAACACATTCATTTGAATTAATTAAGGGTAATTCAATATAGTACTGAAGAATCATCAAAAAGATATGAAAAATAAATAATTTACAAGAAGTAATTATGTACCTACTTCTCCAGACATTACACACATTTTCACAAAAGTCAAAGCCTATGGTCACTTCTCTACCTGTCCACAGTCTCTTTCCATGTTGTAATGTTGAGCAAGGCCATGAAGCAGACCTTCACGAGCCCTGCCCTGGCTCCCTCCATGTGTCTCCAACAGATCAAATATTGCACAACAGATGCTCAACACAGCATGTTTTCTGAGGTGTAAGATAATGTTAATTTTACTTCGTTTTTATTTACAATATGCAAATGTAGACATTGGAGATTTTAGAGTATCAAGTATTTCCACTTTTTTGTTTGCTTTTTTTTAAATTTTTTTTTTATTGTTGCTTACATTGTATTATGTAGTACAGTTTTATAGGCACTGGGGATTCCCCCCACCCCTCCTATTTATTTGAATGGCAGAGTGACAGAGAAAGGGGAAGAATATTGAGAGAGATTTCATCCTCTGGGCCACTTCCCAGATAGCTGACTCAGAGCCAGGAGGCCTCTCCTTTCCCAAGGTGGCAGCAATAACTCCAGTATCTGGACCGTCTGTCTCTGCTTGTCCATGTGTCCTTGTACACAGCTGGATGAGAAGCACACGACGCAGTACCGGAAGCAGTGCTGTGGTCAGGAACACCTCCTGGCAGGTAGCACCTTAACCCTGCCGCAACTCAGCACCGGCCCCTCAGTTGGCTTGTAGCATTTCTCCCAAGTCTCAGCTTCACTCTGCACTGCCAGCCACTCACCAATGAAGAGCTACTACCTTGTGCTGACACCGTGTTCATCTCCAACTACCCCAAGTGTCTGAAGATTAGGGATGGCTTTTTCTAAAGTGGCCAAGGCCTCCCTGGCCTTAATTTTGGTATAGTAATACAGGAAGAGTGTTTGATGCAGAAGTGGAATTAACAATAATTGTCAATGGTCCCCCATATTGAGGACTGATTTTTAAAGGGATAAAAAAACCATAATTCAAATCAGTGTCATAGAAAAGTTTTTCAAGTTGCGATATATGGTATAGTTAAGTCACCATACCAGACTGTAAAAATATCTTCTTTATTGTGACACTGTTCAGCAATTGAGAAATCAAGACTGTTAATTAGAGATATAAAGACACAGTGCAAGAAAAAAAAAAAAGGCAAGTAGCTATTTTCACAGAAATGAGTGAAAGGCACCTAAAAATTGAATAAATTAAAAATAATTTTTGCTAATGTGAAAACCAAACAAACCAACTCACCTGAGTTATGAGAGTCTTACAAACATCACAGATGATAAACAGTTCAAATGTCAGTCCTGTGATTTCCACTGATTTGTTTCCTTTATTTTCTGTGCTGATACTTGTACACTTTTTTTATATAACATTGCTTATATTTTTGCTATAGGTTTTCCCTTAGCCAACTGAAATACTGTTTTTGTAATCTATTTCCAATTTTGAGCCCATCAAAGAAAAGAGCTCCATGCAGCCCATCATCTACATGGTTATGAGTCACCTCAACGCCAGCGTCCCGGAGTCGGGTCACATACATGATTCCATCATCTCTCAGGACATCATACTGACAGGTCATGACATAGGTCCTGGGCAAGCCACGCAACTGAGCGTCATCAGCCAGCAGGGGCGCTGCTCTCACATCTAGGATCCCTGGGAATCTTTTTGCCACATCAGAACTACCATGGATTGGTTTCTTGTAAATGTGGCCTTTCTTGAACTTCTCAGGGAGCAAGGAGCTCCAATTAACGAATCTGAGCAGGTGACTCGCGTCAGCTGGGACATGCTGATTGTGGAACATGGCCGTTTCCAGTGATCTGTCTGTGGTGAAGTACTCACTCCATAACCTGAGCATAAATGATCTGGGAAGAATTGGACGATCAGAGTTTTCCTTGAATGATGGTGTGTTCATATCAAGAGTCTGGAGGGCAGGATATATTAAAGCCTGGATCTTGACTTTGAGCTTGACTTCTGGGTCTTTGATGAGCTGAAAAACAAATTTTAGTACAAACTGCTTGAATAAAAGTGCTGATTTAGAAGATATTTTTTAATTTGAAAGCAAGATATTATATGCAATTAATCACAGTGATGAAATGCCTACCAGAGTACACTTAAATAGCAGAATGTTAAATTTGTAAACGTTATTAAAGGACTATACTGCTGTAAAAATATGGGAGGAAATTTGGGGAGAGGTCCAAGGGGAGGGAAAATGGGGAATCCCTTGAACTACAACAATATTTCACGGAAAAAGATAACAACAATGGAGAAGAAATGAAAGGTTGTCAGAGACAGCAAAATTATGTCCCAAATTCTTTCCAATATGAATATCGAACAAAAGGTTTGTTTGAATAAGTGCGGTGAACCAATGCAGAATAACTTGCACTAATTCTTCTGTGATTAGAAAACAAAATCACTCTTAACATTGAAAAAATAGCCTTACAATGAATTCTTTTTTTTCAATGGAAACATATGCGTATATTAAATCTAAAACAGTCAAATTAAGGGAAGAAACACCCTGCTGCGAATACAATGTGCTTCTGAAGAAGCCTAGGAACTCTTCTGTGAGATGTATTGATCAGACTGACCTGGTTTAAGCAACACATTTTTAGGCTTCTTATTATCCTTTATGCTGCCATTATTTATATACACCTCCACATTTTCTATAGACAGAAATATCCCAATTGGAAAAGAGCTCTTCCAAGGCAATAGTAGGTTGAGAATCATAAGGTCAAGAATATTTATTAGGGTCTGGCATGATAGCATAGCAGTTAAAGAACTCGCTTTAAAGTGCTTGGATCCCATTTGGGTTCAGGTTCTAATTCCAGCCACTCTATGTCTCATCAACTCTCTGCTGCGGCCTAGAAAGCCAGTCGAAGATGGCCAAAGTGTTGGGACCCTACACTGGCTTGGGAAAATGGAAGAAGCTCTGGGTTGCTGACTTTAGATTGGCTTAGCTCCAGCCATTGCAACTTCTTGGGGAGTGAACCATTGCATGGAAGATCATCTCTGTCTCTCCTCCTATCTGTATTTTTGCATTTTCAATAGAAATAACTAAATCCTTAAAAAAGAGAATATTCAATAAACTTAGGGAATGAAATCCTGTGAATCTATTTCATTGCTTCTATTTCAAGGCAATAAAATGGAATTGTTAAAAAGACTCATGGGTCCAGGGTCCCAAGGCTTTGGGCCATTCTCAACTACTTTCCCAGGCCACAAGCAGAGAGCTGGATGGGAAGCAGGGCCACCCAGGATTAGAACCAGCACCCATATAGGAACACAGAGCATTCAAGGTGGGAACAGCTACTAAGCAACTGCACTGGGCCCTGTTTACACATTTCAATCAAGCTCAAAGAATACCAACAATAAAAACTAAATTAAAAATCAATCCCTGAGTTCCACCAAGCTAGCAGATGAGATAAAGGGAGAGCTGTGATAAGAGGAGCTCAGGTCCTTAGGACTCTGCAATTGTGGGAAACCTGGAAGAAGTCGCTGGCTCCTGGCTTTGGATCATCTCAGCTCTGGCCTTTGCAGTCATTTGGAGAGTGAATGAGTAGATGGAAGGTCTAGATTTATTTAAATGCAATTTAGTGTAATAAATATGGAGAGTGAGAAGGCGAAGACAGAGAGCAAGAGGATAAGAGAGCGAGACTCTCCACCTGTTGGTTCACTGCACAAGCGACAACAGCAGTGCTAGTCCAGGCTGTGACCAGAAGCCAGCACTCCTTCTGGGTTCCACACAAAGGGTGTCAGAAACCCAAGACTCAGTCCATTATCTGCTGCCTCCAAGAACATTAGCTGAAATCTGTTACCAAGACAGAGAAGCCCTGGGCCTCCGTGGATCTGTCAGTCTAATCCAGAATGCAAGCATTGAGAGCACTGGCTTTACTTGCTGGGCCACAACACCAGCCTTGCTGGGTTTTTGTATATTTGTATGTTTTTTTGTTTTGTTTTGTTTTGTAAAGGCCTGAGTTATGTAAGAGAAAAGGATTACTCTGCTGTGCAGTAACAAGAAAATGATTGTAAGAAAATCATGTGGCTTATCCAAGACTGTAGGTAAACACTGCTTCATCTCCAAACATGAATGTTTCATGTTGCATTCTTAATGTGGCATCGGGATACTGCTCAGGAAAACAATGAGTGGTCTATATATATAATTAACTAGAGGAAGTAGCACACATCTGTTTTATTTAATGGGAAGAATCACTAAGTTTTACTTTTGTTTTGGCTTTGTATCAGAGGAACTGTATTTAATAGTACAAAAGCAAATGTTAATACACTTAAAAAAGCATAGCACAGGAATAGCATAAGATTTATTAAAAAATAACTTCAGGTGCAATTTCGAGGATAAACTGACATATGAAATTTATTTACAAAAGGACTTTGATTCCAAAACATCTGAGCCAGATTTTTTTAGTCAGATAACTAATATCAAAACAGTAAATTCGTAATTTAGTGAGCTAATTAAAACAGTCCAATGCTTTAAATTGACACCCATAAACATACAGTTTTAGTTCAAATATATAGAAATATACAAATAATTAATATCAAGAAGTGTAATTCCTTCTGCATTTACATAGCATCTATGAATATTTTCAAATACACCGTTTGATAAATCTGAAAGCAAAAATCATCATACAGCTTTTAATATGCTCCAGTGAACAATATTGGAATCATCCACTGCTTTGGTTATAGCAACTTTGTGAAATAAATGATTGATGTCACAACCACACCCACTAACATAACAAAGGAGATTGGGTAGTAAACTGAGCACATTAGTCATGTTTGACACAATGATATGGAAAATGTATTTTATATTTCCAAATTTATAAACTATTTACACAAATAGTAAGAAAAATAATCCTGAAGTGGAAAACCATGTTCTTCAATGGTCTGAGATATACATATTGATGTATCTTAGTATTTACTAGCATATATTCCTTGATATACCAATGTCTGAAATATATTGAAGTGGGGTTATTTAAAGGAAAACGAATACGAGCACCACACCTGCTGAGCCACTGCTGCAGCTAAGTTCCCACCAGCACTGTCTCCAGACACACCGACTCTTTGAGGATCTACTCCGTATTGGTCAAGAACATCTTGTCGTAAGAACCACTTTAATGCGTCATAGACATCTTCAAACTGAATTGGGAAATGATACTTAGGTGCAAGTCTGTAGCTGTGGGCAGAATAATACATACTTAGCAATCCATACTTAGCAAAAGCTTCATGAATATCAAGTGTAAAAGAACAAAAAGGAAACTCATGAATGCAGAACTTGGACTGAGCTTGAGGATTAAAACAAAGGGGGAGGGCTGGTGTCATGTTCCCCTCAATAACCTTGTCCCAGAATGATACTCCTGAACTCATCACACTGCAGCAATAACCAATAAATAAACAGAAAACGAGAGAGTCACTCTGCTTGAAGCGATCCTAGGCTGGGTTTGGAGAAAAGATTTTTGCTCCTTTTCCTTCTGCCTAATTTTGTGAGACGCTGATTACAACGGAGGGTTTCTTGACATCATACACTGAACTAACTTATTGAATAGTATTTAAAAAAAAAGAAAAATAAATGAAAGTATTTTTACCATCTAATTATTGAAGCAATCCTATTAGGTATAAAATACACTGCCGTTACAGTTTAAAAGCTGATAAGTTAAACTAAAAAGCTAGGATGAGATTACACACAGTCATGGAATTAATTGTAGACCCAGGATTTGAAACTCTTTACTTTAATCTTTGTTCATGAGATTCAATATTTTGATTTTTAAACATTCAATTTTTGATTCCTGTTAGATTTAATGTAATTTTTTTTCCTGTTTAAATTTTTGCTATTCATTCTTGTATTTATTTTATCTGTGTTTGCCATCTCAATTTTATATGAACAACTCCTGGAATTATCAAGAATTGGCCAAGAAACCTAAGCACAATGAGAGTGAAGTCAGCTTTCCAAACAACAAAGAAGGCGGCAGTGTACTCACTTGGTGGAGATGACGACTGTGTCGAGGTGATCAGCTGTACGTCTGGACAGAATATCATAGTTCTGCCAAGCTGAAATAAAGGGAATAGAATCTTACAGTGATGCATGAGTCATTGAGACTGATTTCAGTAGAATGCCTGGTAGAACACTTGTGGGCAGAAACTGTTGCTTGTATTATTTCTGTGTGTATGTCTTACTTGAATGAAAGAGAATAATGCCACACACACACACACATGTGTTTCAAATTTAAATTTGTGTGTAGTTTGAAAGGGGTGAGATTAGGATGCACATGTTTACCATTGGATTAAATGGGGGTTTCTGCCATGTATAGGAATAAGATGACAAAATAGGCTATTTTAGTAACATGTGCTCTAGTTGAAGCTTCAGGATACGCCCCTGTTCCTAAGAGGCACCTCTTATACTGAAGGAAAGTGATAAGAATAGTAGATATTATTTTGAGGGTTTTTTTTTCAAACAGATTCTGAATATTGATATGAAATCATAAAATCTCAGAGCACACACATCTTCAACCATTTTTAACTTCTGTGCTATCGAATCATATTTCTATTAAGTATTTTAATAGAAATCTGGTTTTTGACATAGAAAGTTTAAGATAATGCTGTCTTGCTTTATGGCTTATTTGTATACAGATCATTAAATCTATCTAAGCATACCCTTCAATTTCAAGGACACTTTGATATCAAAAGAAAGCTCTGCAGAAATAGTTTTCACAACAGTTACTTGTGAAAAACCAATTGTAAAGGTCGTATTTCCTGTGGAACCTGTCAGGTATGTTTTCTATCCAGATGTACATCCCTGGATGGATGAATAAAGAAACTGCACAGTGGACTATGACTCAGCCGTATATAAAATTTAAAATTTGAGGTCCAGCGCGGTGGCCTAGCTGCCAAAGTCCTCACCTGGAACGTGCCGGGATCCCATGTGGGCACTGGTTCTAATCCTGGCAGCCCCTCTAACCATCCAGCTCCCAGCTTGTGGCCTGGGACAGCAGTCGAGGATGGCCCAAACCTTGGGACCCTGCACCCATATGGGAGAACTGGAAGAGGTTCCTGCCTCTTGGCCTCAAATCGGCACACCACCAGCCATTGTGGCCACTTGGGGAGTGAATCATCGGACGAAAGATCTTTCTCTCTCTCTCTCCTTCTCTCTGTATATCTGACTTTGCAATAAAAATAAATAAATCTTTAAAAAATTAAAACTTGCATTATACAAAGTATAATCACACATGTGCATAATAAAGCACCCAATCCTAGGCATACCAATAATTTAAAATAAAGATGGAATAGTCTAGACAACCTGTTACTTCTTTTTCATATAACACCATCTTTCTTCATAATTTACACATTCATGTAACACATTTTCTTCATATTTAAACTTAACAAAAGAATGGTCACTGTATTGTGACATTTTCCACACTGTCCAACTCACTTTTTGAATGGTTTTCTTTGTAGTTTTTCATCAGATACACCATTAATAGTAAATTTCTACGCTCCTGAAACACTCTTACTATTGATTTGTTACATTCTTGGTTTTTATTATCCCCTCTTTTCAGCAAGTTAAAGTCATTTCTTTAATTTAATTGATCTCCAAGAAAATTCATTTCACACACATGAAGTGGTTTGTGATGTAGTATATGTGAGTATGACTTTTATGTAGAAGTTCACACGTAATAAAATTGTCTTTACTGTGATAAACTAAAACTTTTAAGAAGGAGGACATACCAGCATTTCCCAGACACCAACCGCCTCCATGAATATAAAATAAGCCCCTTCTCAATGTCTTTGTCTTCCGTTTGGGCACATACACACGGACAGGAATGTTGTTGAAAGTTGTGTCTGTCACGGTGACATTTTCATCAGATGTGGGTGGGACTAACTGAAGACTTGTTAAGAAGTTTGCAATGTCAATGGAATGAGCAATTCCCAAGAATTCAACAAATTGAGCCTTAAAGTTGAGAGAGAAGAAAAAACATTCACGGGGTTACACATTACCAAATGCCATTGATGTTTGCCAATGTGAAAGTGTACACGTAGTTCTGTCTATTCTCACAGGTGAACCTCATAACACAGAAATGGTGTAAGTTTAGTTTCGTGAAACTACGAATTGTTTCAAAGGGGACGGCATGGTGACACAGTAGGTAAAAGGACCATCTGTGATGCTACCATCTAATATGAGAATTGGCTCACCTCCTGGCTATTTTATTTCCGATTCAGATCCCTGATAATGGTCAGAGAAAAGCAACAGAAGATGACTAAAGATTGGAGCCCTTGCCGATTGCGGAAGATCTGGATGTACAAATAACTTTAATAACATTGAATAGGAAGATAAATGAGCTTGCTATATTTGAGAAGTAAAAAATTGAGTTTTTATTCCACAGTGTAGATGAACCACAGTTTGTTTGTTTGTTCTCTGTTATTTGGCTTTTAGGTTGTTTCCATGTTCTTGCGATCGGTGAATGTGCTGCAATGAACTATTTGGGGTGCATGTTGCTTTCTCGTGTAACAAGTCTTTTGGATATATTCCTAGGTGTGGTATTGCTGTGTATAAGGCAGGTGCCGTTTTAATTGCCTAAGTGTTCTTCATACTGGCTTCTATAGCGGCTGCACTAGCCTGCAGTCCCACCAGCAGTGGAGTAGGGTTCCTTTTTTTTGCAACCTCTCCAGCAAGTGTTGTTGGCAGTTTTCTGCATGTGGGCAATTTTTTTCTGGCGTTAAGTGGAATCTTGGTGATGATTTCATTTGAAAAATCCATTATTGCCAGAGAGCTTCAGTATTTTTGTGTGTGTCTGTTAGCCATTTGAATTTTTTCGTTTGTAAAGTGACTGCCTATTTCCCATGCGCTTTTCTGAACTGGTCTGTTTGTTGTGATGTTGTTGCTGTTTGGGGGTTCTTTGTATATTCTGGAAATTAACCCTTTGTCTCCTGTGTAGTATGTAAAGATCTCCCATTCTACTGATTGCTTTTTTAGTTTGTTGATTTTTCCTTTGCTCTGCAGAAGCTGCTTAGCTTAATGTAGTCCATTTGTTTATTTTGGTCTTGACTTTCTTTGCTTTTAATGATTTTTCCAGGAAGTCCGTGCCTACACCTATATCTTGAAGATTATTTCCAACTTTTTCTTTCAAAAATTTGATGGTTTCTGGGTTTAGCATTAGATCTTTCTGCATTTAGATTTGATCTCTGTGTATGGTAAAAGGTGTGGGTCTTGCTTATTATTTCTAAAGGCTATTAGCCAGTTGCCCCAGTAGCATTTGTTGAAGAGATTGTCCGTTTTTCATGGATTGTTTTCTGTTTTCTTGTCAAATATTAGTTGTGTATGAGTGAGTTCTATTCTGGATTTTCTATTCTACTCCATTGATCTACTTCTCCGTTTCTGTACCAGTATCCAGCTGTTTTGATTACTACCGCCCTATAATATGTCTGGAGATCTGGGACTGTGATCCCTCCCACTAGGTTCTTATTCTTCAGGATAAGTCTGGCTACTCATGTTTTTCGTGTTTCCAGATGAATTTTTGTATCATTTTATTTTCAGCTTTTTAAAGAACATTCTTGGTATTTTGGATGGAATCCAGTTGAATGTATTTATTGCTTTTGGTAGTATGGACATTTTAATGATGTTGACTGCTCATCCAAGAACATGGTACGTTTCTCCACTTTTTGAAGTCTTCTTCTATTTCTTGTCTTACTGTTTTTTAGTTTTCCTTATAGAGGTCTTTTGCATCCTTTGTTAGGTTTATACCCAGCCATTTCATCTTCTCTTTATTTTGAATGGTACCATGCTGGTTAGTCCTTCTTCAGCCTTGGGGTAGTTTGCATATATTATGGCTGTTGATTCCTTTTCATTTACCTTGTACCCTGCCACTTTGCTGAACTCTCATATAAGTTGTAGCAGTCTTTATTGAGTCTCTTGGTTATCCTATGTATAGAATTATGTCATCTGCAAACACAGATAACTTCACTTCCTACTTTCCCGTTTGAATTCCTTTGATTTATTTTTCTTGTCTAACAGCATTTGCGAGTACTTCTAGTACTATATTAAATAGCAGTGAGGATTGTGGACATCCTGGTCTGGTTCCGGATCTTAGCGGAAAGGCTTCTAATCTTTCCTCATTCAATGTGATGTTAACATTGTGTTTCATACAATGCTTTGATTCTGTTGTGGATTGCTCCTTTGATGCTTACATTATTTTGTGTTTTCAGCATGAAGTGGTGTTGATTTTATCAAAATCTTTTTCTGCATGTATTGAAACTACAATACAATTTTTGTTCTTCAGGTTTTTGATGTGATGTATCACTTTTATAGCTTCATGAATGTTGAACCATCCCTACGTGCCCGGGATGAATCCCACTTGGTCCAGATGAATAATCTGTCTGATGTATTTTTGCATTCTGTTGGCTAGTATTTTGTTGAGGATCAAAACAAAATACATTATTTTGTGGCCAAATGGGCCAAACTAAAGACCATTATGCTAAGGGAAATGAGCCAATCCCAAAAGGTCAGATATTATATGTTTGCTCTAATATAAGATAATATGATGTCAAATCTAGGAATATTACCTCTGAATCCTAACTCTTCTCACTTCATACCTACTTGTACCTTGCGTAATAAGATCCTATGAAGTAATTCATTAAGCAACCATCCATAAGTGACTGATAGTTTATAATTACTTGAGAAAATCAATGTCCCTTTTGCACTATTATTGGTACTAACTCTAAATAACGAAGATCTAGTCCTCATTGTAACTTCACTGGGATCCTGGTATACAAAAATGAACTAACAACGAAATGACTGACAGCCACCTACATGGTTAGGAGACACTCCAGCGGCAGTGTGATGGATTTGGGAAAATTCACAAAATACACACATTGTGAGACTGGAGCAGAGACTAGAAGGGCGGGGAGAGAACTTGGGGAAGGGGGAAGGGAGACTCCAATGCCAACAAAACTGCATCAAAAGACAGAAAATAAGAAAAAAAGTAACCCCCCCCCATGAGTTTTTAAATACTGGGTAAACTATGACATGAAAACTGAAAGAGCAAAAAAATTGGCCAAGCAAAAGGAAAATATTTTTCAACACAATGCACTCATCATGAAGAAACTCCTATTTACAACCAGAGAACTGGACTAGTTTAGCAAAGCTCTTAAACCAGGGGCAGACAGAGAAATGATACACGGCAGAGACCTCAAAGGGTGAAGGTGAATGAAATCCCAAATGGTCTTTTACATTATTATTACTTACTTTGTATTATGTGACACAGTTTCATAGGCTCTGGGATTCCCCCAACCCTGTGCCCTCCCCCCATGGTGGATTCTTCCACCTTGTTGCAGTATTACAGTTGCTTAATGTTAGAATTCCAAGATGCAAAGACATGTTAAGATTGGTTTCTTTATCTTAAAACAGTGTAGTATGGGCTGAGCCAATCTCACATTGCTTAACCATTAAGTCAGTACAAAAGCAATAAGCAAGTATGTGCATTTTCAACATTGAGTCAGCCCCATCACTATCCTCTTGAAAGGGAAGTCAGGCAATATGGGTCTGTACTTCCTGCCAATGCAGTTACAAATTCAATTATACCACCTTCAGTATTCTTGTAAGGCTAGAGGGAAACAGAAGGAAAGTTGACTCCCTCTGGACCACTCTCAGTATTCATGTGAACACACATGCATGCGTGCTTCTGATTGTTCTAACAACTACTGCATTAGTAGTGCAGGGAGCTAGAAATGTTGATGACTTTGATTCATTGCATTCTAAGGAATCTGTGCAGCCAGCATGCTGGTATAAGCTGGTCAAGCTGCAACCAGAGACACCATCCTCCCTTGAGGCCCTACCTCTTCTTCTGACTGCTCTGCAGCCTGCCTCTATCCCTGCTACTGTCCCAGGAGAAGCACCCTAAGGAGGGCCAAGTTCCTGTGTAGGACACCTAGAAGCTTCAGCTTCAGCTTCAGCCTGGCTCCACTCAGGCCATTGTGGCTACTTGGAGAGTGAGCCGGGAGATGAAAGACCTCTCTCTTTTGTCCTCTGTGGTCTTTTCGCAATTCTGATTTTAAATTAAAACAAAAACACATCTTAAAATTAAGTAAAGATTCTGTACTGTAGTATTATTTTCAGTGTAGCCCACAGGAGATCTCGGGAAGGAGAGCAATTAAGGCATGTTTTTGTAGATAGGAATGCCTTTTTTAAAAACATTTATTTTATTTTTATTGGAAAGTCAGAAATACAGAGAGGACGAGAAACAAAGAGCAAGATGTTCTTCCCACTGATGTCACTCCCCAAGTGACAACACTTTCCATGTTGGCTTGCTTATGAGAGGATATATGGTATTTGTTCTTTTGTGATTGACTCATTTCATTGAGCATAATGGTCTCTAGTTGGGACCACTTGGTTGTAAATAGAATACTTTTATTCTTAATAGCTGAATAATATTCCATGGAGTAGATGTACCACACTTTCTTTAACCACTCCTCTTCGGATGGGCATCTGGACTGTTTCCATGTCTTTGCTATTGTAGATTGTGCTGCTATAAATATAGGATTAGAGTTCCCATTCTCATATGAAGTTTTCATTTCCTTTGGATGTATTCCTAGGAGCAAGATAGCTGGATCATACAGCAGGTTTATTTGCAATTCTGAAAACACGCTCCATACATATTTCCATAGTGGTTGTACTAGTCTTCAGTCCCACCAGCAGTGAAGGAGGGTGTCAACCAGTAGGTGTTGTTAGTAGAGTTCTGAACACAGACCAACCTTACTGGAGTTAGATGCTACCTCCATGTGGTTTTCATTTGTATCTTCCTCACAGCTAGGAAGCCTGAGCATCTTTTCATATATCTGTGACCCATTTGAATCTGTTCTTTTAGAAAAATGTTTGCTCATTTCCTTCACCTGACATGTGATTTCTTAGGATATTGAGGATGAAGACATCCCAAAATATGTCAGGTGTCAGGGATG